GTGCCAACGGCAGGAACAACACTGAACCTATTGGTTATTTCTGTTGTGGTGTTGTTGTTGTGTGCCATTGAGTTGCTTGTGACTCATAGCAACCCTATGTACAACAGCCCTAAACCCTGCTCTGTCCTGTTCCAATAGCACTGTCTCCGATATCCCCATCCCGATTACCCCAGTCACTGACTCAATCTACCTCAAAGAGGGTCTTCTCATCTTGCGCTGTCTCTCCACCCTCCCAAGCATGCTGTCCCTCTCCAAGGGCTGGTCTCTCCTTGCAACATGGCCAAAGTATGTCAGACAAAGCTTCAGAACAATTGGGAAATATCTTTAATCTGCTCTTTTCCATAAAATGCTTGTCTGTCAGATAATGTTCTAAATCTGAGCATTCAAATTAAGGCAGACTAGGAAGAAGGATTGGTCATCCACTTCTAAAATTGCAGGCCTTAGAAAGCCCTACATACAATAGAGCACACTTAGACTAGCAGATATGGCAACTGAGACTGAGCTCTCAAGTATAGAAACACTTAGGAGGAGGAACAGCTGTAAGCAGACACTAGTGATTGGAACATGGAGTGTGAGCACCATGAATGTAGGAAAATTGGATATTGTTAAGAAAGAAATGGATCCCAGAGGTCTGCGGTTCGAATCCACCAAATGCTCTGCTGGAAAAAGAGGGACAATCTGCTCCTATACCAGTCAGATCCAATTTGACGGTACACACACCAAAAAAATAATAAAATAAAAATTTTTTTTTAAAAAAGAAAAAAATGGAATGCATAAATATTGACATACTAGGTATTGGCAAAATAACTAAATATGTAAAAAATAAAAAATGGGCTCTTATTTATGGAAGAAACCCATTTAATAAGTGTAGAAGGAATAAATAAAAATAGTCTTTAGAATATTACAACAACTGATGGCTGCTAAAATATGTAGACAAAAACTTGAAGAGATTCAAGATTATTTGCCTCAATTATCTCCTCCAGTATATTTATTCAGTAAACATTAACCAGGAAAAACCTGGTTTAGATAAGTTAAAACAGTTAATATCACCAGTAATAGATACATCAACATCACATAACCCCTTGGCGATACATCTAGAGAGATTCTACATTTCATAATACATTTTTGTGTATTTTTGCCAACAATACACAACGCCAATCAAATCATGAAGAATCATCAGGCAATTCCAAATTGAAGGACATTCTATAAAATAATCAATAGGTATTCTTCAAAAGCATCAAGGTCACAAAAGGCAAGGAAAGATGGAGAGGCCACCAGAGATTTCAGGAGCTGAAGGAGAAGTGGCAATTAAACGCAATGTTAGCATCTTGGGTTGACCCCCATTAGTGGATAAACTGGTGAACTCTGAGTAAAGTCTTTCATTTACAAGCTAGTGTCCACAAAGAGGGTAGATCATAGCATTATATCAATGCTAATTTCTTAGTTTGGGTATTTGTGCTATGGTGGTAACATGCACCAACATTAGGGAAGTTTCATTAAAGATGAAGGAATGAAGAAATTGTACTTTTGACACTTTGCTAAGAATAAAATTAGTTTCAAATAAAAAGCAAACAAGATTTGTGATCTTCATATAATTGGGATGAAAACCTCCCTAATTCCCAAATTGGTAGAGAGAGAGAGAGAGAGACAGAGAGAGAGAGAGAGAGAGAGAGAGAGAGAGAGAGAGAGTGTGTGTGTGTGTGTGTGTTTATCTATACCATCAAATAGGATCTGACTGGTACTGGAGGAAACTGTCCCTCCTTCTCCAGCAAAGCATCAGGTGGATTTGAACCGCACACCTCTGGGATTGCAGTGTAGCTTCTTGCGACTAGGCCACCAGAGCTCGCCCCAAATTGGTAAAATTTTGGTAGCAGGGTGATCTGAGGGGGAAGAAAGAGTTCCAGGGCACTCACAATGCAGCTGTAGAAACTACAGACACATGCATGTGAAATCCTACTTCAAGCCAACAGGAAATAAGCAGGAGGGATGTATACAGCACCTAGGTCGGGACTTTTAGAAAGGAAATTGCTTGCCCATCTGCTCCCACTTTGTTCCCGACACAGACCTTGTGCTATTGGCCTGCTCTGACCACAGGGTGAGGCCAAACTCCTTATAGTGTGGCTCCAACTGTATACACAGCTGTGCTCATTTGCTGCATTCTAATTTTCAGGACTGCTTTGGAAATATTTTAATTGTTTCAAGCTCAGCCCCAGTTCCTTGTGATTCCAACACTCACACTCTTCCTGTGTATCTGATTCCCCAGGCTTTCTTGTCCTATGGAAATGCCCCAGAAATACACGTTAGCACCCCACACATCCACCCCTGGCAGAAAAGCAGCAGTCAGTCTTTTAAAATCTTCTCCTCCTTCACCTCACTGTCATCTGTTATCATTCTGTTTCCAAAACGCAGCTCAAGGTCATGATCATTTAGCCTACTGTAGTATTACACTGGCTACTATTTTCTAATTCTGAGAAATATGGCAATGAAATAAAATTCAATTCCATAGCTCCATGGACTCATATTAAGGAAGAGACTATGATTCTCTAAAATGTAAAGATTCTAGTAGACTAGGAACCTCCTTATATGCTAACCAAATCTGGGAAGTTGGAATCTACCTTCAGGGCCCTCAGAAGGCAGGCCTCCCAATCGACTTCAGAAATATCAGCAACCATTGCAAGAACATGGAAACAGCCCCAAATGTACAACCATAAACTAGTGGATTGAGAAATCATGGTGCATTCACACAATGGAATACTATGCAGCATGCAGGAGCAATAACTTTGTAAATTATTAACTAACTTGG